ATTAGATGTTACTCACTGGGCTTTTGAAGTCTTTCCTGGTGTCCTGGATGCGTCTGGGAGATTGATCGCTAGAGGAGTTCGACACTGTGAAAAAAGGAAGTTTTTCTTTTTCACTTGTGTTACAAATTTTTGCAGATCAACCCTTGACATACAAAATTGTTTCTACACGCGCAAATTTAATTTTACTCAAAGAATCCTTAGACCCCCTCCACATCACGCCAGAGAAATTTGAAAAGGCAGCTTTATTTCTACTCGATTCTACGGTGAGGCTAACCGTCCACACTAATCCGTCAAAAGTGGTCCATACCGCCGGAGCGTACTCCGGTTTCCTGGCATGAAGCGACCAGGAGAATTCCTAGCTCTCCAGCCTCCCGGAATGTGAGTCGACCGTCTCAGGGTTACCCAGCATTAAATTCACCGGTACGCACTTATTTATATCACACCTGGGCGGAGAGAGGGGAACAGTAAGGGGAACAGTAAGGGGAACAGTAAGGGGAACAGTAAGGGGAACAGGAATGGCGCAGCGATGAGAGTTCTCCCCTTCCACCAGCTCGGTGCCATATGTGGGTCGAGTTTGTTGTTGGTTCTCTCCTTGCTCTGAGAGTTTCTCTTCGGGTTCTCCAATTTTCCTCACTCCACAAAAACCAACATCTCCAAGTTCCAATTCGGCCGGGGTAAAGGACCCGCATGCAAACCAGCTGAGGCTGATGTGGTTTCCTCCCTTAATATTATAATTTCTTTATTATATATTTATTCGAGACTTAGCGACATAATGATACAACGACATAAGCGCTTATGTTGGTAATGTAAACATCGACATAAAGACATAAGGTTAGGTGAAAAAAAGACTTAAAAAATGGAGCAGGAAACACTTATTTCGATTGCGATAATTCTTTTTCGTTTCTTCGACGATGGAAGACAAAGGGAAAGAATGCTAGAAGAAAAACGTGGACACAGCTGATCTTTCAACAGGAAGCTAGGAGAGCACACGGCCAGTACCACAACCTCTTCAGAGGGTTTAGTTTGGGTGTTCGAAATTATTATTTCAGGAATTAAAACGGAATTAACATTCCTGATTACACTTTACAGTCGCCGCCATTTTCAAAGAAGTGCTGGTGACGGACTTGGCTCGACAATTCTCGCACCGCTCTGATTGGTTCTTTGTTATGTTATTATGTCGATGATGTGCACACTTGTTTTAACAGAAACATAACGTCATAACGATATAAGGAAAAGATCACAGAGTTTTTTCCTGATGTCATGATGTTCATGTCGTCATGTCTTTACCTCTATTTTTAAGTCTTTTTTCACCTAACCTTATGTCCTTATTTCGATGTTCACATTACCGACGTAAGCGATAATGTGGTTATGTCATTATGTCGTTTTATTAAATAACTGAGCTACTAGGCGCGCTGTCATTGGTCGATAGGTGTGTTTAGATGAGAGTATGTAAACACGGTTGTGACGTCGTTTTAGACTCGCGCGTATTTTGGAGAATTATTTCATGAAAGCAATAGAGAGCAATCCCGTTGGAGCCTGAATTTTTTTTCAGACTTTATTTTCACAGCTGCTGAAGTTGTTTATGTGAAGTTTATATGAAATAATTCATATATGAAGAATGATCATCGCAGTAAATGTTCCAATTTAAGCAATTGGAAAGAAGAAGCCTGA